GGGCTATTCTAAACAGGGCGGCTGGGCGCGATTCTGCGGATGCAATAAGAGTGGAAAAATGCACACATTTTGCCGCCCATATCACCACGAGATAAGTCCTAATATAGGCTCAAATTAAGTCAAATTGAGTCAAATTAAAAGGTTTCTGAAATAATGAGTTTTTCTAAGTTAAGCAGTTTGTTGTATGAAACAGTGACATTATAAGTGACTTTTTTCATAAATGAGACATTAGCAACTTCAGCTAAGAACCAGGAATATTTTGAGAAAAGTAAGAACATTACAGGGAAGGCAGAGGTCATAAGCTTCAATATCACTGTGTGTTCTTTATTTCTGGACCTCAGGAATCAGTCCTTGTCATTATAATCCATTTTTATCTCTTTAAATTCTGCTTCTGGTCATGCTAAGACAGGTCACTTAAGATTTTTTTGAACTGATCTGCTCAGCTAACAAATACAAGTAAAAGAGTCCTACCAAGCTGCAGATTCAGCAGAATAATGAAACCTGCAAAGCAAAAATGTTCAACATCATGAGTAGATAAGGGGTTATAATAGACATATATTATTTATTTCCCAAACCATAGACAGATGATCAAATGAGTCCATAAAATGTGACAAAATAAATATCTGAGATCAACTAAATTCAACAATAAATTACTCATCATGTTTAAAACTATAGTTTTAATGTTCAGGATTGTAAAAAAAAAAAACCTCCATTCATTTCTTTAGCACTATTTTGCTTGTTTGTAATAAGGCTGATTCCTACTTCCCACTTGCCCAGGGACAAGGATGGGCACTTCCACCAGTTTGGGAAGGAACAGGAATGATTGGCTGCATCCTTAGTCCTTCCCTCCTGCAACCTATTGGGAAAGGGACCACTACTTGAGTTTTTTGGCTTTGCATCAAAAGTACTGTTTTTTCATCTATTTTGGAAGGAGCAAGACAGTCTACACTCTGTCTCCTGCCTTTCATTCCATCCTACACGGATGCCTTTGCTTCATTTGGTTGGTATGTGCTCGGATGGGCCAGGCCCCCTTCCATGGATCTCTGGTCTTTGCCTTCAAGGGCCATTTTGTCCAGGGTAGCTGGGGTGCCTGTTGTGAAAGGCTGAATCTTTGATAGGAACTTTTGTTTTCTTCTTTTAAATACAGTCTCTGGTGGAACTGTGAAAATTTAGCCACTTCCTCTTCTCCTTTAACTATGTGAAACTTGACAGGGTTCTGCCATGTTTTCCCCCTTTTTTTTAAAAAAAAAGATTGATATTCTTATGCTGCTCTACTCTAAATTTGGCTGCAAATGGTAGAAAGAACTGTAAAATTGGTGTTTTGTCTTCAGAAGTCTTGCTCACTGAAGAAAAAGCAAATACCATTTGATTTTTCTGGCTTTCAAGGAAAAAGAAGCAGAGGAATTATCAATCAGGGATCATGTTGATAATGGTCCAGACAGAACATCTGGCCATGACTGTAGCCAAAAGAAAGGAAGAATGTAAAATCCAGAAAGGGGTTCCTTAAATTGACTTTCTTTCTAGCCAGTTTACACAGAGACAAGTAGGTGAAGGCTGCAACAGAAAAAAATCTATAAATATGCATGTTTACTCACCAGCCCAAAGTTTTTGATTCATCATTTGGATACCTGCACAAATAAGACAAATAATTACAGAAATGCTTCTGCACTTTCTTAAAAGTTAAGTCCATAATCATGAACATTAGTTCATTTAATGCTTTACTTTTAATGTCTTATTGCAATTACAGAGTTGTAAAAAGCCAAAACTTAATAAAATTGTTCATTTCATCCTTTCCAAGTTAGCAAGTTTTAATACAGTTGACATTGTAAGTCATTCTCTTCATTCAGCATAATAATCAATGAGGAACAAAAAAGCCTAAACACTCGAAAGCCATTTAAATAGTTCTTCACATACCTATCAGCTTGAGGAAATTTTTGCAATTGAAACAGCCTGACCCTCTCTCCTGTTATGCTTCTGCCCATCTGCAAAGTTCTGGAAAGGAGGAACTTCTCCTATCTCCAGCCTCTGTAGAAATCACTTTGTCTCCACACCCTGATTGTTGGGTGTTTTTTTAAACTTTCAACAGTTCATTATGTTCTGATTAAGTAAACACAAGTGAATCAGGAAGTCAAGCAGACCTAGGGAAAATGCAGACATATCAGCTTGACCTCAATACATGAAAAAAAATCCTAGAACAATAATAAAGCAGGGCTTTGAAAGCACTTAGAAAGAAACAAGGTGATTAGTAAAAGCCAGCTTGTTTGTTAAAAACAGGTTATGTAAGCCCAATTTTAAATGCTCTTTTTTGAAGAAAGTAAACCAAGTAAGTGCTATGGATAACACATATTTAGGCTTGGGTTAGGCCATGGATTAAGTTAACCCACTTCCTTCAGAAAGTGGAGCTATATAGAATGGACTGCCAGAGGGTTTCATAGTTGCAGGAATGACTATATGCAACACATGGCGTTTAATGGATGTATATCTATCTGGGGAAATATACAGTACCTCAGGCTTCTGTTTTGGGACCAAATGTACATTTTTATAAATAACTTAGATAATGTCATAAAAGAGATATCTGCAATTTTGCAGATGATACAAGTGGGGATTGGTATTGCTAACACTTCAGAAGACAGAGTCAAGATTCAAAAGAATCCTGCTACAAGTGTTCAGTGGTGGCAAATACAAGATTTTATATCTAAGTTGATAGTACTTTTGAGAAATATCTAAGAGTTAATCGCTCCAAACTCGATTGCAGAAAATACAACTTCAGCAACAGAGTGGTCAAACGCCTGGAATGCTCTGACTTTGTTACATCTTCAAACCCCCACAGCTTCAACCTTAAACTGTCTACCGTGGACCTCACCCCATTCCTAAGAGGTCTATAAAGGGGACCTGCATAAGCACACCAGCATGCCCACCAGTGGTGGATTTCAAAATTTTTTAGAACCTCTTCTGTAGGTGTGGCCCGCTTTGTGGGAGTGGCTTGTCAGCCATGTGACTGGGTGGGAGTGGCTTGTCAGCCATGTGACTGGGTGGAAGTGGCTTGTCAGCCATGTGACTGGGTGGGTGTGGCCAACTTGTAAAATGTAGTGAAACTCACTTAACAACGCTCTTGCTTAGCAACCAAAATGTTGGC